CCAATTACAAAATTAATTAAATTCACTTAATTATAAACTTCATATATTTTATCATACCTAAATTATCTTAATAAGCTTTCCCACCTTCCTAAATAAGCATTATCATTCTGCTGGTTTTAAATGAGCTCTTTGTTGATGATGCTAGCACAGCCTCTACATTCATCGAGTATAAGTTTCTAGCCCAACCTGAGTGCTATCCCTGACTTCTCAGTTCTTGCCCACATCCAACTCAGCAGAAAAGCTTGTTGGTACTGGGTTAAAAACACATCCTGAATCAACCCACTTCTTTCCACTGCTACTACTTTTATGCTGGCTTGAGCTATTATTATCTTTTACATACATCATTCTAGTAGCTATCTAATGGATGTCCTTGCTTCTGCCCTAGACCATACAATCTAGTCTCAACCTAATGATTTACTGAAATATAAATCAAATGATCACTCCATAAGCTCCCAATTCCAGCTCATAGCAATCCTGTGGAACAAGAGTAGACCTACTCTATAGAGCAAAAGTCCAAGCCTCTTCAGTGTCCCACAAGACTCGCCATAATCCTGCCTCTACACTCGGACCCTATGTCCTATTGTTCTCCCCTTCATTGACTGTATACCAGTTACATCAGTCTCATGGCTCTTTCTCCAGAGTGTCCACAGGCTCCACTGTTTCCTAGGCCCAGAGGGCACTTTCCTTGAATATCCACGTGGCTCATTACTTCCTCCTGGACCGTAGGATCACATCAGGCCTTCCCTGCCCACTTGCTTAAATTACAGCCATCAACAAGCACACACTCACCTTTTCCTGCCCCAGTTCTGGTTGACTTTTTCCTTAAGACTTCATTATAATTATTTCACTTGTTCATCTGGTTTACTGTCTGTACTGCCGCCACCCTACACGCCAGGATATAAGCTCCATGAGACCAAGATTTTAAATCTAGGTATTTCTAGAATCTAGCATAATGGATTGATAAAAAAATTAATAAACAGCATTATAACATAAGTAAGGAAAGTAGCCAACATGGCTTAGATTTTAATTGGGTCATTACCTAACGGTTCTTCCTTCACACCGATTTTTGTAGCCACGACCCAGATGGTAGAATTAATTCATTATTTCTTTGCTCTTATTTAAGAAAATGTAAAGATTTACAATTAAAGTCTTGAGTTCTATTCATGGATCCTTTTCATCCTGTCTCTTGTAAGTATATAATGACTAGCACATATTAAGTGATATCTAATTAAATGCTGGATCTCTCAAGGCTTTGTTTAATAATTTGGTTGCAGCTTAGAACTGAATGAGACCATAGGTTCAGTAGCTAAATTATGAAGGACTTTGCAGTTATAATAAATATACTGCACTTTATCTTGAAATAATTAGGGAGCTGTTGCCGGGTTTTAAACCGAATATCATGGTTAGATCATTCTGAGAGTTGCCTGGAAATGAGATCAAGCTCAAGGCTTTAAGCAGGAAGAACGTGTAGGAGGCTGTGGCAGCAGCCCAGGTGAAAGGAAGAACCTCACCATAACTCCAAGCTTTCCTGAACTCCAGGTCCGTATATTCAACGGGCTCCTTGGGTTTCCATCTGGAGGCCCGTTAGTCATCTTCTATCAAGACGTTCAAAATAGAGCTCTTGGTATTCCTTGTAATTCTGCTTCAATCTCAGCTGCCCCCAATTCAGCGTATCAATACCACCACTTGACAAGTTGTTTTCACCAAAATAATTGTGTGCAACCAAGTCAGTTCCAACACACAGCAATTCCATAGAACAAAGTAGGCCTACCCTGTAGCGTTTCCTGGACTAATCTTGATGGGAGCAGATCACCAGATCATTGCTCCCATGGCGATGCTGATGGATTCAAAGCGCTGACCTTTGGGCTAATAACTGAGTTCCCACCCATTGCAGCATCAGGGCTCCTTCACCGAATCTAGGGGCCAGCTTGAATTTCTCTGGAACCCCAGCAGGCCCAGACACATCAAATCCTGGCCCGGCCTATACCCTGCATCCTCCTGGCATTGTTGTCAGGTGCTGTTGAGGAGCTTCTGACTCAAAGCAACCGTGTGTACAAGAAAACAGCATTGCCAAGTTCTGTGCCAGCCTCACAGTTGTGGCCATGTCCAGTGTGCTCACTGAAGGTCTTCGTCATTTAAGCTTACCTCTGCTAATCATGATGTCATGCTCTAGGGACTCGTCCTGGTACCGTTTCCAGAGCGCATGAGACGGACTCTCAGTACCCTTGCATCCGAGGAATAGCCTGGCAGTACTTCCAGGACAAAGTTGTTTGTTCTTCTGGCAGCTCGGGGTTTAGTCCGTCTTCTTTGTCAGTACCGTCATTCCAGGCTTCCGTGCTGCTTCAGTCTCCTTTACTAATTGTCCAGCTTTCACACGCACACAAGGCGATTAAAAATGCTTTGACTTGGTTTAGGCACCCCCTAGGCCTCAAAGGGGCATCTTCACTTTTTTTTTTTTTTAGGTTTTTTAGAAAAAATTTTTTATCTTTGCTTTTTAACACTTCAAAGAGGTCCTTTGCAGCAGATTTGTCCAATGTAATGCATTGTTTGATTGCTGCTGCTTCCATGACTCCTGATGGTAGATTCAACTAAAATGAAATACTTGATAACGCCAGTATTTTCTTCATTTATCATAATGTTGCTTATTGGTCCAGTTGTGAAGATTTTTGTTTTTACATTGAGTAGTGATCCATTCTGGAGGCTGTAGCCTTTGATCTTCAGCAGTAAGTGCATCAAACCCTCTCCAATTCAAATAAGCACAGTAGTGGCTGTTGATCCTGAAAGTTGTTGATGAGCCTTCTTCCAATGATTTAAAAAATTTTTTTAAAAAGACAAGAAGAAATGACCAAAAAAAGAAAGAAAGAAAAGACCAAAACAGTTGTCAGAAGAATGCTTCTACTTCTCCATTTATATCATTAACACCTTAGTGCAAGACACCATCAGCTCTAGGTCTCTGTGCGGGTTCTCCTAACTAACTGGCCTTCCCATTCCTGCCTCCCTCAACCTTCTACGATTGTCCATGTTCCACACTGCAACCAAGATCGCTAGCCTAACACAAAGCTGAAGCATGACGTTCCCTGCTCCCCGCCCCTGGTGCCTTTCCCTCACACGCAGAATAAGACCCACATCCTTGCCTGCTTAGCTGATGTCTTTTCAAATGTGTCTTCTCCTCAGCCTCACTCTGCAAGCCTTTCTGTTCCTCAAACTCACAGGACCACTCCTTGCTTAAGGTCCCTGTTCTAGTCATCGGCCTGGCTGGAGCTTTTTCTCAGATCCTCAGGTGGCTCAAGGGTCATTTCCTGGAAAGGACTTCCCCAGATTTCCAAAAGAAAGTGCCCCTATCCCCAAGAAAGGGCCTCCCTTTCCACCTAGAGGAAAACTAGCACAACAGAAGGTATCTTCTTTGCGTTGTGTGTGTACTCCTGTGTTATCTCTCCCTCCCTGAGCCGCACCCCTCCCACCCCCAGCCAAACAGAGGTGCTGGCTTTGGTGTGCAGGCTGGCTGCAGCACCCAGGGAGCCATGATAGCAGGTGTCTGGCTCATAGTGTGAGCTCAGACTTCTAGCCTGAGGGGCGTGGGGTTGGGGGAATGGAGGGAGAAAGTGGAGGGGGCCACCTCGGTAAAGCAGGAGCTGCTAACAGACTCTGAGGCCTGGGCCTGCAGAGAACCCCATGAGGAAAGGCTCACTCACAGTGTCTCCAGCATCCCACAGCCCAATGGTTCAGTATCTGCTCACTGACCATTAGAAGTGATGTGTCCTAGTGGCTCACTAGGTCTGTGGTTGAGAGAGGGAGGCTGAAAGATGACTCCAGGTTTCTGCCTCAGGCTGTGGCACCACCTCTGGCATCCATCCAAGGGAGCCCTCCTGGCAAGCCATTCAAGTGACGACCACTTAAAACACAAAAGACAACCCTGCACAGGCACGCTGAAATTAAAACAAAAATTGGCAGATTTCCCTTCCTATTTTGAAATTAAACTTACCCTCCTCCAGACTCCCATAGTTACTAATTTATATTGTGGGAATAGCTACTGTGTGTGTGTCTGTCCACTGTGGCATTTGACATGCACTGTCTTGTCATTTGGGGTAGGGACATGTGTGTGACTTAATCGCTGCTGTGCTGTACATTCCTTAAGGAAAAGAGAGGAGTCTTCTCATAAAGAGTCAGCACCACAGTTGTTGTTTTTGCCATAACAAAGTCCTGTGCTGTCACCAGCCACACTCTGGGACCAATGGAAGCACCTCCCACTTTCCTCATCCCAGCTCTGAGCAGTGCTTGAAGTCATGTTTGTGCTCAAGGAGACAGAGGGCAGGAGGGACTGCTAATGTGGAACAGACTCTGTGCTGGGCCTTTAGCACTCTCACACACGTACATATATGAAATGCACATGTACATGCAAGCACATATAGACATACATACACACCTGTACACACATACTTGTGCATGTATACACAGATATGAATAGTGTATGGATACACCAGTACACGTGTACACACAGACTTTTCGACATCTGTACATGATAAATGTTTACACATATACACATGTTCATGTTCACACAGACATACAGTGTATGGATACACCAGTACACATGTACACACAGATGTGTATTAACATCTGCACAGGCATACATGCATGCACATACAAATGTGTACACGTGCACCACAAGCATGCATATATACACCAGTAGACATGTACACACAGCATGTACTTGCATACATGCATGCATATACACATGAGCTTTATACACATATGTACACATGTGTGCACAGACATGCAGGTACCTGCCTACATACACTGGCACACGTGCATCTTCATGTGTACACACACTTACATGTAGTCGCATTAACCTGTAGCTTCCCTACAAGGATGGTGGGTGGTTTGGCCCACACTTGGAAATGGGAAGAATGCATTAGAGAATGCAGTCACCCGGCATCATCATAGCGAGCACTGGAACCGAAACCCATGCCTGTTTCATGGAAGTTCCATATGTTCACCACCAGATGGCTGATTCTGACCCTGCGGACATAAACTATAATGATATGCTGAAAATGCTGTCAGACCTAAACAAGGACTTGGAAAAGCTACTGGAAGAGATGGAGAAAATCTCAGGTAAGATGTTTTGCCAGCCAGGCACCTCCCCTTCTTTCCTATAACCCAGGCCCTCCCCACCCATCAAAGCTCAAATCAAGTGCTGTGCTGCCCGCTTGCAGCCTCTGTGCAAGGCAACTGCTGGCCTCCAGCACTGGACACTGATAGCAGAACAATGCCTTGAGTTACATCTAACCAGTCCATGGGTGTCTGCACCTCATTTCTGCTACCAGCCACTACCTTCTTCAGGACAGATATAGTGGCCCCCTTTTGTAACTGGCACAGTGCCTGATACAGCTCAAATGATAAGTCAGTGGTCAACGATGCTACTGTGACACTGTAAATAGAATTGGAACATTTCTTTTGGTGAGTCATTAAGTAGAACAAATTTCTTTGACTAGTGTTAGGTCAGGTTGAACACTGAAATGGGAACTACAATAAACAGCAGCAATAAAGTAAAAACAAACCCACTGCTATCAAGTTGATTCCAATCCAGTGATTCGCTAGGACAGAGTAGAACTCCCTAGGGTATCCAAGGCCATAAATCTTTATGAGAATACACAGTGTCATTTTTGTCCTGCAGAGCAGCTAGAGGATTTGAACTACTGACCTTGTGGTTAACAGCCCAACCCATAACCCACTGTGGCACCTGGGTTCCTTAACAAATTTCTCCATTTTGGTAAAGTTTGGGGGTCTTTTGGTCATTATGTTCCCACTAGTGGTAATCAGCAGGGGCAACAATTCCATTAACATTTCTTTACTCTATTTTTTTGTTTGTTTTTTGCTCATTAAGAATATAGGAGCATCAGAGGATAGCACTGAAACTACAGCTCAGGGAGAGGGACCTGTTTGATCAGCAAGTGAAGAGGGGAGGCATAGAAGTGGAGCACATCCTGGCCCACCAAGCCCAGAGGACGATATTCCTGCAGCCAATGCACAGAGAGGACCATAGGGCCGGCCCCGCTATGAGACACGATGTCCCTCACTGACATGTAGCGCATGGGAGACAACACTGGAGACACAGTGCAGAAAGTGTGCCCAATCTGAGCACAGCACACCGAGGGGAAACAGTAAGGGCGTGCAACAGAACAGCAAGGGGAGCAGAGCAACGAAGTCCCCGGGGAATACCAAAAATTGACTTTGAGGCCAGAGCATGGCACCCCATCAGACTGGACCAGAAAACATTCCTAAAGGTCAAACAGACCTTGAACTATTTATAGGCTTTTTAAAAACATTTGATTGGGGGCTCGTACAACTCTTATCACAATCCATACATCCATCGTGTCAAGCACATTTGTACATTTGTTACCCTCATCATTCTCAAAACATTTGCTTTCTACTTGAGTCCTTGGTATCAGCTCTTCATTTTTCACCTTCCTCTCCCCTCCCCCCTCCCTCATGAACCCTTGATAATTTATAAATGATTATTAGTTTGTCATGTCTTACACTGTCCGATGTCTCCCTTCACCCACTTTTCTGTTGTCCATCCCCCAGGGAGGGAGTTATATGTAGATCCTTGTAATAGGTTCCTCTTTCTACCCCACCTTCCCTCCCCCCTCCTGGTATCACCACTCTTACTACTGGTCCCGAAGGGTTCATCTGTCCTGAATTCTATAGGCTTTTTTTTGTCATTGGTTTTTGTTATTGTTTTGTTTTCTTTTGTTGCTTTGTTTTGCTCTGCCTTGCTTTTGTGCATATTATTATCTCTGCATGTCTACCTAGATAAGATAGTAGAGATGAGCAATCTGGAGGAGAAAACAACGGGGGGTGGGGAGACGCAGGAGCAGGGGAGGCAGGGGAAAGGAAGTGGGTGTGAACAAACCCAGGGACAAGGGAACAAGTGATCTAAAACCGATAGTGGGGAGTGTGTAGGAGGCCTGGTAGGGCTTGATCAAGAGCAATGTAACCAAGAGGAATTACTAAAACCCAAATGAAGGCTGAACATGACAGTGGGACAAGAGGAAAGGAAAAGGAAATAGAGGAAAGAACCAGGAGGCAAAGGGCATTTATAGAGGTCTAAATATAAGCATGTACATATGTAAATATATTTATATATGACAATGGGGAAATAGATCTAT